GCACGGAAAGGGACACTTGCGGGGCAGGGACCCTCGCTGGCAGCCCTTGGGGTGACCCTCGCTGTGCCCCGCAGGTGCCGTCGGGAGGTGACGGCCCTCCAGGTCGGGTACCATAACCAGGGCCGAGGTAGCATCTTCTCCTGCATCCCTGAGCACGTGACTTGCCGAGCGCCCGTCCATCACTCCTGTCACCGGTGGGGAGGCCACGCACGGGCCTGGGCACTGGTGACCTCGCGGGTCTGACCTCCTAGGTCTGCCCTATGGCTTCGGGACCCATTCTTCAGGGAAGCAGAGCTCCTCCGGGACCGTTCATCCCCTCCTGCCTGGCTGCACACCGAGCCCAGGGCCACAGAGCCACCGCTCACACCTACTGAGATACTCCACGGACTGTGAACAAGCAGCTCACGTGCGTGTGGTCCCTTCACAGCATGAAACATGCAGCAGCATCACCCTTGGATGAGCTTTCAGAAGTTCTGATTTGTTTATTAAGTGAGGGCAGGCTGCCCATTGCGATTTTGGGGCGTGTGTATCCCTTCTCCTTCCCCTGAGCGGCGCTCAGAGCGCCCAACAGCTCCTGGATCCCGAGATCCGTCCCCTGGGATGTTCTCCCTCGGGCTCAAAGCAGCAGCAGCAGCAGCAATCGACCCGGACCGACCCAGCGGGGTGTATTTTGGAGCCGTTGGGAAGGAGCTCCCGTTGTTGGGGCTCTCCTGGAGCAGATGAGTGACACACTAATGAACGGGAGGGTGCCCCTGCCCGAGAAGGCTTTGTCCGAGGGCTACGCGCGGCTGCGCTACAGGGACACCTCCCTGCTCATCTGGCAGCAGCAGCAGCAGAAACTGGAATCGGCTCCTCCCAACACGTACCTGAGCCGGAGCCGGAGCATGTGGTACTCGCAGTACGGCAACGAGGCCATCCTGGTGCGGGACAAAAACAAGCTGGATGTCTCCAGGGACACGGGGCAGTCCAAGTTTTGTGCCATTATGTGATTTCCGCGGGTTTAAATTAGGGAGCCACGTGTGGAGAGAAACCAGACTCGTGTCGAGCTGGGGGAGGTGGGTTTGCACCATCCTCTCTCAGAGGTGCAGCTGAAGCAGCGTGTACAGGATAGGCCAGACAGGCTGGCTGGAGTTTCTGTTTGTTTTTGCTGTTGATAGACTCCCATTTTGCATGTCATTGCGTGTGCACAACAAAACCAGCCTCGCTCGGGAGCTCACGAGCCTGTTGCTGCCCAGCATCTTGGCAGGGTCCGTGCTGGACCATGTGTCGCTTGTAAGTGGCTCGTGTACCCTGAGAAACACCCGCTGTCATTTGGGCCTGTCCCCAGCCAGCATTTTACTGGCAACTCCTTATTTCCAGGGCTCTGGGAATGCTGGGGGGGCAGAGGTGGGCGCAGATCCGTTTCCATCAGGGCTATGGTTTTAGGAACTTGATCTCCAAAACCACCTGGCCACTACTTGTTCTGCTTGCCCTGTCCCCCTTTAATTCCTGCCCTGGAAGTGGTCTCTTACAACCAGGTAATGGAGTCATTTCTTGTGGGGAGGAAGAGGGAAAGAACGTGCTGAGAATTTAATCCGAGCCTTCACAACACCTGGCAGGAAAGGTGCTCTGCAGTTTTATCCCATGCAAAGCCCAGGGCTCTCCCTGATCTCACAGTGTGGGATCATGGAAATAACAGGACTTCTGGAGTCAGGGCAGCTGACTCCTTTCATGCAGGTAGATCCCTGGCCCAGCTCTGGGAGCAGATCACCCAGTGAACCACCTGAAAGAGAGGGACAGGCCCAGGAAAGCAAAGGAAGAAAGCTACTGTAAATACACACATCTCCTAAGGGACACAAGGAAAGTCCTACACAGCAGTACCTACCCCTGAGTCCAGTTGGAGAAGGGAAGAGTCCACTGAAATTTGCTTTCCATTCAAGTTTTAATGCATGCAGTAGCTTGGAAGGGTTTAACTTCTAATTCAGGTTGGATTGTAGATTAGGTGCATGTATTTTAAAAGTAGTGTCTGGGATTGTTTCAACTAACTGAAGGATTTTAGGAGGGAAAAGCACTTCCACTGCAGCTCTTGGGCACAGAGGCTGCTTTCAGGTTGTTTCTGTTAGCACTGAATCCTGACTTGCTCATGGCAAGATCAAGCTGAGGAACTCAGCCAAGCAAGCACCTGAATCTCTGTTAAAAACAAAACTACCACTTCCAGGGGTGTAAATTACTTACCCAGGGCTCATCATTAAAATGTAACATCGGGGTGAAGTCACAGAGTCCATTTCTGTCCTGCCTAGGACAGCACTTGGGCACGGGCTGAACTCCAAGCAAATCAGTATTTGATGTTGACTTCAGTATGGATTATTTACCTGCCTAAAATCAGGCAGTCATTTCTTCTATTATATTTATCTAAAACCTCCTTGGCATTTTTGAAGCACTTTTATTTATTTTAATCCAGTGAAGAATCTCTTCCACCTCTCCCACGTGGGTTAAATGCTGCAACACACACGTACACTCAACCTTGCTGAACTCAAGGTGCTGAGCAGAACACACCTGTTTTAACGTGAGATCGTAGAGGTTTGGTGTTCTCAGCCCTGATCCATAGCACTGCAAACAATAGGCAGCTCAGTATGTTTTAAAAGTAACTATTTCTGCATGTGTTGGTGTTTGGTATCTTACGTGTGTGCTCATAGATTTAAACCTGCTGATGGACCTCGCTGCTTTCCTTCCCCGTGCATTGCTCTGAACACAAACAGCCCTCTTGGTCTTGTCAGGACTAGCTCTGGAAGAGAAATCTGTCAGTGAATAAATGTTTTTCAACTGGGTATTCAATGAGATTCACAAAACCAGCGAGGCTTGGCAAGCTGCTCTGGTGAGGTAGAGCATTGCCAGGGATGTGTGACCCACCTGGGCCTCCAGTTCCTGGCTGAGTGAACAGGTGATTATTTACACAAACAGGCAGGAGGCTGGTCCAAGATCTCCCCTGGGAACTGCAGGTGGAAGCGACCTGGAGAGGCAGGAGAGGTGGGTTCTGGCCCTGCCCAGCAGCCCTGAGGAGCACGTGAACTCTGGGAGTTTAAGGAACAGCACATCCCCCAAACCAGCTGTTCATTTTCTTTTCTTATAGAAAAAGAAACCCAACACTTATTTTCTTTTTTAATTTCAGTAAGAAAGATGGTTATTTTGGGTATAATCAGTCTCTTTTTGTTAATGTGGCTGGTAAACCAAAATTCAGTTATTTGCAGAGTGTTAATTTGGACTATACAAGACTCAAAACATAAGTGTGTGCATAAATTCTTCCAGGATTGAGGCTGGATGTGACAGTAGAGGAAGAAGAGGATGAGTTGTCCTTCCATCTCTGTGAATGTGACTGTAGTTTTCCATATCTGTGTGTCACTGGTCACAGCAGGTTTATGGTGTGGCTGCTGTGACCGAGCGTTTCTTTGAGCCAGTTGTGTGATGTTGATGCACTTGTTTAAAACACCGTTGTAGCATCTTTGATAAAGTGCATTAAAATGATTTGAATGCAGCACTGTGAGCAGCTGTTTTTTCTCCTGCACCTCAACTGCTCTGGCACACACAAGGATTACACTGTTGGCCCTCCCCATCCCCACACAGGTAGTTCCCACCTGGGAGGAATTACCTTACTTACTGGTGAGGCTCCAAAGCCCCACCACTGTACCTGTGAACACCAACTCCCCAAGCCCAACAGCCCTGAAGTCTCAGCAGTGCATTCAGGGATGAGGATCAGCCTCTGGCTGTCACACTGAATCAGAAAGTTTGGAAAAGACCTCTGAGATTATTGCACTCAACCTGTGACCCATCACCACCTTGTCAACCAGACCAGAGCACTGAGTGCCACATCCAGTTGTTCCTTGGACACCTCCAGGGATGGTGACTCCACCACCTCCCTGGGCAGCACCTTCCATGTCTTTTTTCTTCCTTGCAGTGAAGGGCCCAGAATTTGGGGTGTGAGCTCCCCAGTGCACCCATCAGTGCAGGAGCTGAACTTTAACTATCAAATCTGCAAGAAACAGCACTGCTTGATTGACCTAGAAATAACTAAACAGTAAATGCTACAAAAGACATCCTCATCTGCCTCGCAGGAGAGTGTTTAGAGGACAGGCTGAACAAACACTTCCTTTGGGAGTATCACTGATACAACACAGTGACACTGATACAACAACAGGGAAGCAAAACAGGTTTGCTGAAACCTTGGAGATCCTGGCTCTGAAACCCAGTGAGCAGGAACAGGGTTAGAGAAAGATTAACCCTGGGGAAGCCTGGCTGTGTAACCCTCACCTCACACATAAAACATCAGGCACACAGTTGAGAAACCCAACAGCAAAACCAGCCTGAACCCTCTGCAGTGACTAAAATAGATCCTGGCCACCACACAGTAATGTCAAGACTCTGCTGGGACTGTGACCAGCTGCTCCAGGCCCCCCTTTTCCAAGCTGTGCCTTCCAGGTCACCCTGAGCTCACAGACCTGCAGGGTCTGGCTGGTGGAGCAGGTGAGAAAGTCCCTCTGGTTCCTTCGTGTTCTGGTGGCTTGAAAGAAGCCAGCACAAAACCTGGGTGAAACATCCATCTCCTTTCTGCTGGACTTACCTCAATCAGGTGCAATTCTCACACAATCTAAGACTCCTGCAGGCTTCTAGGAAGAGTCAAAGTCCTTCCTGGGCAGGCTGGGTACAGGGAAGTAGCTGAATGTTTCCCTCACCAGCAGAAAGGTGCATTTAAAGAACCTCTACACCAGGTACTGAGCTGTGATTTGGAGACCCCAGACTTGCTCCATACTCTGGAGCCCCCTCAGTGTGACACTCCACTGACAGCTGAACTTGCAAAATGACTTTCAAATTATTCCAAAACTCATTAGGATTCAGTAAATCTACATTTGTGTATGGCACTGCTCGATCAAGGCTTGCAACTGCAGCAAGTGCCACACCTGAAAAAGGAGATGAGGAAAGGGAGAAGGAGAGGGTTGGAAAATATGGGATCAAACTGCACACACAAAACAATTTTTCTTTTTATTATGAAAACAAAACAAATGCCCCAGGACCAGGGTCCGTGATTACCAGTAACATCAAAGATTACTTTCTAACTCTTTTTTTTTTTTTTAATTCTGTTGTGTTTGAGGCCAGCAATTTGCAATAAACAAGCTAAACTACTTACATTGACTCGTTTCTTTTCAGTAACTGACATTTACAGGAATATACTAGAAATGGCACTAAAAAGTTTTAAGAAAAAGAGTTACGGTAAATTTGCATGCACATCATACAGAAAAGTAACAATTCTTTTATTTTAAATATTAAAAAAAAAAAACAAAATAACAAAACAAAAATACAACAAATCTTTCTGGATTAGGTTATGCCAGTATCAGGGCTGTGTTCTAAGTGGCCTGTGTCAAATCCTAGCCGGTGGTTTAATTTATTTTTAAAAATGACACTTTAAAAAGATATGCAAATACCATTTTCTTTAAAAAATGCAGCTCAAGCAAGATAATGCTGCTAGTGTAATGAATCCTAAATTTATCTTCAATGATGCAGAGCCTGCCCACAGTTAGCCCTAGTGGTAACTGCTCATGGTTGAGAATGGAATGAGATTTTAAAATCCAGCACTAATAAAAAGGTTGTGTTTTTACTTTGTCATGCCCCGATCCCTTCCCCCCAGCTCCAACCCCAACTTTAAAAAACATCATTCCTTTCAAAACAAGGAAAATAAAAATTAAAAACTGGTCTAAAAGTCCCCAAAACAGAGAAAGAACTAGATTAGGTAACTGCAGTCTGCTTCTACCACATAGAGAACATGGAAAGAGACCTCACGGGGTGACTAAGTCGGATATTTGCACACACACGTGGTTATGTGTGTGTGTGAGGGGGGGTGTCACACACAGTCCTGAAACATCAGTTCTACAGTTACAAACCCTGTCGGTAGGAAAGGTTAAAACCACATCAATACAAAATTGAAATGATTCTGTATAGACAACATTTGGTTAGCAGAGAACTGTTGTAGCCAACAGGTTCCTCCGGTCGATGGATCAGGGCCTGAGCCCACGGGATGCAGATCTCCCTCTGGTCCCACTGAGCCACGAGACAGGCTGAGTTTACAATCAGAGAAAAGTTTAACAAAGTTTTTAAAGGTGCAGTAATGCTGGTCGATTGGATAAAGGTCTGGTCAGAAATTTTGTCAAAACAGGAATTCGTCAGAAAAAGCAGTTTCAATAAAACTCTTTGTGTGTATGCATACATATGAAATCATACTGATTTCAGTGAAGTTTCCCCTGGAAAACAAAGTTAAACTTTGTTCATTCAAGAAAAATTGTACCATAAAAATTTATTTTTTTTCTTTTTTTTTTTTATTCTTAAGTTTAAAAATGTTATTTCAAACGTTCTATGCTTGATCATTTTAAAGTTATTTCGTGACATCCGTACTGACATGTCATGCAATACAAACTGAGTTAAATAAATGCTCTATTGTTTCAGTTCCCAACTCATTAAGGGCTGCTGCTACTTACTATGGACTGGAAACATCTCTTCTTTCCTGGAGACACTCGGGAGATACAAGAGGCACCACTACGGACATGGTGGGGGATAATGAGCACTATGAACAATATGAGAATGGAGAAGTGTAAGAACACCATTTGGGAATGAGGAGTCCCCGATTCCTTTCCTGAAACAAAGGTCATGCCAAAATGGATTCCTCCTGTGAGCTGCCATTCCATAGGGAACACCTCACTTTCCACGAAAACAGTTTCCCTCTAAGTGGTAGCCCAAGTTGCAGCCGGTAGATCAAAGATATGCAGGTAGTTCTTCACGCTCCGGGGTGGTTTTGGCAGGTTGTTTTCCTTGAAAACCCCCAAAAGCTGGGGTGGTTTGCCAGCTAAAAGAGGGATCCTCCTCCAGCCCTGCTGCCAGCCTCAGGCCAGGCCCCTTCCCATCGCTCCACACGTGGTCCCCAACCCTCTGGCCTCCAGCTTTCCACTGATTTTGGTGGAACAGACCCGCGGATCCCAGAGGAATGTCTGTGCCCTTGCTGTGCTCCTGTCCTTGATGTCAGAGGATGGGGGGCTGTCCTTGATGTCAGAGGATGATGAGATGCTGCAGAGCCACGTCCCTGGGTGGGCAGTGATGCTGCTGAGATGCTCTTGCCTCCAGCACCGGCTCCGGTTTGTTCTCCGCAAGGGAGCGACCACCACATCCCATCAACAGCACAGCTCAGGTTAATGCACACAGGAAAAGGTTCCAAGCAGGGAAAACCAGGAGCTTGTTTATCCAAGTTGTCATGGTAGTGAATTGGTTGCAATTAGCTCAACTAAAACACTAGCTGGTTTTGATAATGCAAGTTGCACACAGAAGGAGAAGCACAGATGAAACCCAACCCCGTTAAAAGGAAACCCAAGCTCTTAATGAGGTGAATATTACATTTCCTCGTGGTAAATTCTGAAAATATATTACTAAGGATCTGTCTGGGGGGGGGGAATTTTTTAAGGGTAGGATTTAAAAAAATATAGGAACTAAAATAACTCCATTGTCAATGGAAAAGAAAAATAATTAATTTCAGTGAGAATCAGAACATTTTCCTTTCAAATGCTGTGGGAAACAATCTGAAAGGCTTGAGAGCCTCCTGCCCACTGTGGTCACCACCAGATTTTGAAAGGCAGATGGCCAAGGTCCAGCTAATCAAACCTTGGTCGATGGGGCAGTAAGTGACTGGTGGATGCAGCTGGAAATGCAAACCATGGAATGCTAAGAACAGGCTGGCCCTGTGCTTCCCAACTTCCCAGCACAGGGACATCACCCAGATCCGACATTTGCACCACGGGGCCTCTGGCAAACCACTGAGAGACCACAGGAAGGTGAATTTTAGGGCTACCCCACATCAGAGAGGCAGCTGGTGCTGGAGAAGGAAAGGCATAACTTTCTGTTAGAACTGTGTATTTTTTCTTTACAACAAAAAGAATTTACAATAAACTTCTGCCCCTCAGATTACAAATTTTATATAATTATAGAACCGGTGTTTTCCTAAAAGTTGGATTAGAAAAGGATAAAACCCCCCACTGTTCTACCAAAAAAAAAAAAAAGAGAGGGGAGGAAAAAGACCATTGGAAATATTACTGAGAAAAATCAAGAAATTGTATCTGACTGTATGTCTCCAAAATCTGTACAAAACAGGAAAAAAGGGGGCTGGGGTGAAAAGAAAGAAAAAAAAATGTAAAGATGAACACACCAAATATGACAGAGCACCAGACACATGACAGACTGGACTGTAGCACCTGTAGGTATGAAGCCCAAGGTATATAAATAAAGTTGCAGATTTTTATTTGCTTTGTTGGTGTTAATTTGTTTGTTTTTGAAATCTGGTTGGAACCTCGTTAAAAGTCTGCACGTCTGCTGGCCTGCAGAGATGCAGCTTTGCTTTTGTTAGGTTTAATTACATTTTAAATGACCAATGGTATTTAATAAATAAAGTCACGGTATATACACGAAATTGGGGACACTGAAAACAGAGTGTATTGCAGCAGTGCAGGTCAAAACATTAGGCTGGACTCAAAAAAATAGCAAGTCTTAAAAAACTGGCTCTTTTCTTCCTTTTCTCCCTCCCCTCTTTTTTCTTTTCAGCAAGGTAAAGCATTTCAGTGCCCGGAAACCTGCACCCTGCACAAGAGAGAAGTAGCATTCCCTTTGTGGGAGCTCACTACTGAAACAATAAGGAGAAGGGGGGGGAAAAAAAGCAAACTCAAGCAGAAAACCCAAACCCACACAAAATCCCTCTCCACTTCCCCTGCCAGCTCAGCCTCAGCTGGAGCTCAAGTGGTGCTTTATTTTAAGCCCAGACTGAGGTGCTTGTCATGGAGAAAATCCCTAAGCTTGTGTCCAGTAACGAGCACATGACTTGTCTTGGTCACTGCAGGATCACTCCAAGGTCCAGCTGACAACTTCCAGCCAAAACCTGCTCTCAGTTCAATGAAAACTTTCATAGAGAGCATCCATTTCCTGGAAATTATCTATTTCATGTTAAAAATAACATTCCCAAGAAACTTGAGTGTCCCTCACTCCCTTCTTCCCAATGAATCCCCAGGAAAAAAATGAAACTTCTGAGTGGAAAACCAAGAAATGCAACCACTTATATTGCTCATGTGCTTAAAAGTTAAATTCATGCTTAAATACCTTCCTGAATAGGTGCCAATGCCTCTACCAAGATTTAAAAAAAAAAAAAAAGCATGTTAGCAATCCACAGTACATGAGAATTTTTTTGGATTTTTTTTGTTTGTTTTTATGTAAAAAGATGATAGCATCTGACATTTTCATCACACCGTAGACTTCGAGATTAAGAATACTAGTGCTAATAACAAATACACCAACTAGTTCAAAAGCTAACATCTTTCAGATACAGTACCATTTTACAGAGATTCCTTTAAAAAAAGATGTTTTTTTTTACCTTGTGTGAGCCAGGCAGGCTTATTAAAAGAGAACATTCTGAGGAGAGGGAAGGGATGGGAGGGAAATGTACTACAAACCTTGCAGAATTTTCTATTTATCTCCTGCTAAGAGCTCAAAGTTCTTCCATTTTCAACAAATTTTCTTCGGATAAATGTATTTTAGAGACTTTATGCAAAGGGAACTATTTGTCATAAAGTTAATTCACACACACACGCAAAGATCTTTGACCTATTAAAAGAGAGCACCCCCCCAAAAAAAGAAAAAAAAAAAAAAGGAAGATACCTTTTATAACACTGAATTAAAAAATAAAATAAAAAAAGTCAGAGAAAGAGAGAGAGGGGATAAAACCTGACCACCGTGGGAGGAGAGCAGTACGTTAAGGAGGGGAAGGAACACTGCAGAGCATCGGGGAGGGGGATGTCCGTTTGTTTTGTGTCCCAGTGTCCGTAACTCATTCCGAATCGCTGCTGTCCGAGCTGGAGCCGCTGGAGCTGCTGCTCCCAGACTCGGAGGAGCTGCTGCTGCTGAGCCGGGAGGGGCCTCCAGAGGGAGTGGAGCCGGATTTCTCTGCGGGGAAGAAGGGGGCGATGTGGTTACTCGCAAGGAACTGAAATAGAGAAGGTTTGCCCACAGCCTTCATCCTCCACGGCTTTGTTCCCAATTTCCCCCGGGCAGCTGACTTAACAGCAGCCTTTGCTTCCTGCCACAAGCCTGTCCTGTCAGTGGATGACGGGGTTCCTCAGGCTGCAGGTGACCGTGGAAGTTTGGGATCCACACAGGAGCTCTACAGGAGGGGAATGTCCCCCCACAGCCCTACAGGTTCAGGTGAGACAGCGCAGAGCACCCGGAGCTGCTTCAGTGCAACTCTGAGCACAGCAAAAACCCCCTCCTGACCTGTGCAAAGCTGGAAACAGCTTTGTTTGCACTGGAGGAACTCTTTGTAGCATCTTCCACAATTGAATTACGTGGGGCTTGGGCTTCTTTTTAATCCCACAATGGAGAAAAGTCACATGTTAGATGCTCTGTGGTACTGGTCTGTATGCACAGGCTAATACAGAGGAGATCCTCCTCCCTCTGAAGGAGAAATTGCCTCCAAGACACCTCTCATTTACCACCCAACAGAGTTTCCACCTGGACAGGGACCAAAGCAGACCCCACACAGGAGCTCAGTGCCCAGCAGTAACAACTGGGGTACCTGTCACAGAGACAAACCCAAGGCTACAAGAAGGCAGAGGTTTTGTCTCCGTGAGTCTATCTACACAAACAACTTTTGGGGCTCTGTTTTTACAGTAAAACCAAAGCCATTACCTTTCTTTGCAGGTTTCTTGTTGTTGTTTAGCTGCCCACTGACGTCCTGTAACCGTTTTTCTAGTTCTTTCTTCTTTTCCTGAGCTAACTCTTCTTTTGACTTCGCTGCTTGCTTTTTTCCACCTGCAGCTGGGGAGGAGGAACACACAGTTTCTGAAGCTGCACGGATGCAGGGGAAAAAAGAGTGGACATCACTATTTTACAGGGCATGTAAATCTGTGTGAACACTCTACAGTGACACTGCTAAGATCAAGTGATCACACAGCAACTACACATCCCAGATAGAAGACAACATGTGAAGTTGTCCGACTCATCCAATCACCACCATCCTCTAACATGCTTTTTTTTTTTTAAGAGAGATCTTCTGGAAAGTATTTTAGAAGATAGAAATATCCATGTAATGACCTTGTCATTACAGGTTACTTACCAGCCAGTTATATGGTCAATAATTACACATTTGTAATTACAGAATTGTTACATGGGTTTTCTGCCCTGTAAAATAAAGTGTCCCATTAAAGGTTGTCTGGAGTAAAGCATCTGCCATTCAAACTTCCGGTACCTCACGCAAGAATCTACTGTGGTTTTATGTTGCTCTAAATATAAAACAAAACAAACAAGGACAAATTAAAAACCAACTGAGGCAAAGGTTGGCAGACAACAGGAATGTAGCTGCACCAGGGTGGAAATGGTGAGAAGTACCAGCAATACTGCAGAGGAAATATTCCTCCAAAGAAGGAGTAATTGAACACAGGTGTTGGCCAGGATCAGAAGCACCGGGGCCAGATATTTTGCCTGATCCAGCAAGGAAATACCTACGTTTCTGTGCACTACTTTTAAGCAATGATCTATAAAGAAAGAAATCTGGAAAACACAGCCCTAAGAGGCTGCACCCCTGAACACTCATCTCAATAGTCCAGCTGGGGTCAAGCATGTCAGGCTCACAGGGTGGACCTCTGAGGTTATCTGTGTTACTTTATGTTTTGGCTCCAAAACTAAAGGATGCTTTTTGTTCCTAACCACTCTGGAAAATCCTTTCCTGAGCTCTTCCAGTAGTGAAGGATTCGGGGGAAAAAATAAATTAAAGCAGCACATTAAAAAAAAGCAAAAAGAAGGGTCAAAGTCTGCAGTTTGCTTAGGCCCATGTGAAAATCCTGTGGGGAAGAAATGGAGCTGCTCTGCAAGAGTGGGGACTGGCTTCTGTGTCATGGCCTTAACATCACAATTCCCTCTTAACCAACAGAGCCAGGACCACTTCAGGTAAGTGATCCTATTGCTGTTTAGCTGGAGCTTAACTCTCAAGGGGCTGTGACAATTCACTTTGTGGAAAAGACACAGAGACAAGTCTGTCCCTCACTGAACCACACACTCAGCAGCACATGAGCACTAACCCTCTGAGCTGAGACACTGAGGGCAATCTGGTGATCAGGCCACGTAGGAAGAACAGTTTTGGGGTGAATACACAACTCAGACACACCCAGAATCCAAATGTTGCCCAGGTAACTTTGTACAAGTTATTTATTCCCTTGGTGGTTTGGATCCCAACCATGCTTTTTATTTCCTTTCTAATTAGATGCTGAACTATTCAGGATAAGAAACTGATCCTTCCAGATGTGTACACATAACACCTAACACAATGAGACTGAAACCTTTACAGTGCCTTCCAGAGTCTGGATAAGTAATAAAGGCATCAAACACATCTTGCAGAGGAACATTATAGCTCTCCAGGTCTCTGCAGCACGACATCATGGGAAGAAAGAACAGAAAAAAACCAGAAAGTTTCTGTACATTTTCTTGGGAGAAAAGGATCTCTAAAAATCCCTGTCATCACATACCCAACAGCTGGACAAGAGAATCTCAACACACATGCCCTGACTCCAAAGCTGAGCCCAAGAGCTGGTGGGGGGAACACGTGCCCCGGGAGGTAACTTACAAAACGGTTTCCTTTGTTTTTTCTGTAAACAAGATTTCACGTATCTCTCCAGTTCTCGTAAAGTTGTGGGCTTCAACGTTTCAAAATCTATTTCTATCTCATCGGGATTGGAGTCTCTGAGGGAAGGTTCCCGTGACTGGATGATGTGCACCACCCTGCCGAGCTTCTCCCCAGGCAGGCGGTTGATGTCCAGGCTGAGCTGTCGTTTCTCATCATAGGTCATGGGCAGACCTTCCTCCTCCTCATCTGAGTCGTAGGTTGCAGATGCCTGTTTGCCTCCTTTCTTGGGCTGCCTGGGGAGGTTGTCAAGCATGAAAATATCCATGGGTACATAGAAGCAATGAAGCCTTTTTTTTTTTTTTCTAACTCCCTCGCAACAAACATCCCAATGCCCTTGGCTTTGAACCTCTTGTCAGATGGCTTGAACAGCACCACAACTGCTGAAAAAGTTCAGCCATCTGAGATCAGCTGTTTTATTCCTATTATATTTTAGCCCTGTGAAGCGTGACAACAAGCCCCAGTGGCAGCAGGGGGGCAGCAATGAAGTGGCACGTTCTTGGTGGCTGCACAAAAGGCAAAACCCAAAACCTTCTCTGAGAGCGATCAGGCAGGGATACTAAGGGTTGGACAGTGAAAACATAATAGTTCCACTGCCAGCTCTAACTTAAAGACTCCCTGGAGTTGTCTGGGAATGGGGACACTATTCAACAGCAAATTAACTGCTCTGACAACTGAGCTTCCCCAGGAATTAATTAAGAACAGGGCTGGAAGCTCTTGGCTCTCCCCTCGAGGCACCTTGTGGAAGGCAGGCTCTCACCTGTTTGCTGTGGTTGTGCTGTTCGCTTTCTTAGCTGGGGCTTTCTTCTGTTGGGTTTGTTTTGGTGGTTGAGCCACCTTGGGTTTCTTCTCCTCCTCGGTTTTTACTTTGTGCTTTTCTTTTTCCTTCTCTTTATCTTTCTTTTTCTTCTCCTTTTCCTTCTTCTCTTTTTTTTTCTTTGGTTTGTTCACTGGCGCTTGCGACAGTGCAGCCAACTGCTCGTGGACGGCCTTCAGCTGGGGGAGAACGGGGAAAAACTGATCAGCCTTCAAGGCAGGACAGTTGATGCCTCCACTACCCTTCTTCTACATCCCAAGGTGTAAGTATATCCCAAAGTCAGCGATATACTCTGGGATCCCAGAAGGAAGCGCAGAGCATCAGCACTGAGAGAAAATTACCATTACATCAAACACTCACTTACTGCGCAGCTGAGTGTTCTCCCCCTTTAGCTGGGAGAAGGGGAGAGTGTTTTCCTGCATCCCAGCCTAGATGGGATTTTTAAGAACAAAATCAACCCCTTCCTCCTGCTGTGCCCTTTCTGCTGCACTGACACACAGCTCAGCTGTTGCAGTACCTGCTCCTGGAGCTCCGCCAGCCGAGTCGCTCGCTCTTCCTCCGAGTCGGAGCTGTCCGAGTCAGAGGAGCTCTCCTCACTGCTGTGACTGCTCTCTGTGCTTTTGCTCACCACTGGTGCTGTTGGTGGAGGTGGAGGGGGGGCCTCTGCAGGCTCATCGGGCATTTTTGCGAACCTCATCTCAAAGACATCCTACAAAAAGGAGGAAAACTGGTGATTAAAGGAGCCTCAGCCACAAACAGCTCACTCTGGCCTTTTAAACACATCAGGGTCAGGGTCTTATTGTACTACACAAGGTTCTGTACAAGTAAATAATAACATACAGAAGGTGTATGGCCATCTGTAAGGCCAAGAAAATTCTCCCATTACTTTGACAGCAAGGATTATAATTTTTTAGGAGAGGAATGTGGCATTAGGCCACGCCATGGGAAGAGCACAATTCTGCAGCAGAGCACAAGGCTCTTTCCAAGGGCTGGAGAAATCACCGGCTCTCCCTGGCTGGTGCCAAGGGCAGATCCACACCTGGATCTCTGAACTGATACCCTGTAGCTGAACTAAAGGTAACTCTGGGAGACACATTTGCCAACACCTTTACCTGGAGCTTCCTGGCCATCGCCACCACTTCGTGGTCTGGAGGATTGTACTTGTAACAATTAGAGAACATTAACCGAATATCTGCTGCGAAACCTTGTGCATCCTGGTATTCCCGACTGTCCATTTTCTTCTGCAAACAAACAAGCCAAAGGGAAAAAGGGGAGAAAAAGCCATGAGCAAAAGGCATTTGTAGCAACTGCGTGGAGGACAACGTGCATCTCGGAGACAGAGCACCCTGAAAAGTCCCATTTGTCTAAGAGAAGGGTAGTTTGATTTGGGTTTTTGGTTCCTAAATAACATTCAGAGTTTCTGCTTTATAAAACAAGCAAACAAACACCAGGCAACCAAAGAAGTTGATAATGCTCCGTAACAGTTTAAACACTAAGATTCTAAATTTGGGTTGTTTTCCAAGTAGTAAAATATAAATCTGTCAGGGTCCACATTCTAATAGGAAACATTTAGAAAAAGGGTTTGCTGGATCAGAAACTAATACAAACAAGGATAATGGATATAAAGGGCAAGAGTCAACGAGCAAGTTACAATTACAGTGTGCACTTCTGTGTGCTGCTTGGGTATATGTGCCCTGTAAATCTGAAAGGGCAGAAAAGATGACGAAAATCTGACTCTGACTTCCTGCTAACACAGGCAGGAAGATTGCTTGGCAATTCCTACAGCAAAATAGGCATTTACAGTTAAACTACACCACCTATTTCTGATTTAAAAGCCCAACTGATACAGAATTCCCCCTTTACGAACCTGTTCATAATGTTACTTCCTAGTGTAGTGAGAATAAGTATCAGGAGCTAAATATTTGCACCTTGTTCCTTTATCTTATTTCTCAGCTCTCATTTCTGTCCATTTCTCTTGCTGTTTGGGACTGAATGACATGGGTTTAGAGAACAGTTTATAGCATTCCTAGCACTTAATTGATTTTATGCATATATTACTACTATGTATAAAACCTTAGCTCCAATTACTCCTGCTGAAAGAGAAACTAACACTAGATTTCATTTGCATTTAAAAGACCTGGGTTTAAAGAAATTCGCTATTTGCCAAGTGCATACAGGCCTCCCTTTTGTATATCCTGTGCACCTGTATCCCCAGAGAAGGGAAGGGGCTGACTGGCAGACAGGCTGCAGACAGACATTCCCCATCCCAGCAGAAATCTGGGATGTTCAGGGTCTGTCATCCACCCCAAACACAAGCAAAATTCCCATTTTTTCAATGGAAGCTACAGAAATTTCACATCTACATGAGAGACCTTGTAACTATCTGGAAACACTGCAATGGCTCCCAGAACTGTTTCTGCTGGGAATAGGACAGAATTTCACCTCCAGGGATGCAGATTCAGAGGGACCTGCTCCAGGGTGGTGACACTCCTGCAGCCTTGCTCCCTGCTGTGCTGCCCCTGCCAGACATCTGTCAAACTTTTGTCAGGAGAACTCATTCTCTTGGTGAATAAACCAGGAGACAGCCTGGGAGCCACAGCACAAAGGCAGAAAGGGAAATAGGTTTGTGGCGCTCCCGCCTGAAAAGCGTCTCGGGCCAATTCCAAAGCAAAACATATGCTCAAGCAAAAGGGCTTGTTTATTTTAAAATACATCTTACTGCAAGAAAGGCCTTTTTTATATTTGTTTGGCATATTCAGTGCCTGATTACTGCCTATGAAATACATTCCAGTGTCTGAGGCTCTGCTTTTCATCCAAACTCAACACTTTTCTAGCCCAACACTTTTAATCTGTGGATTCTTGTTTTGTTTTCTTGTAAAGAATAATTATCTTAACAAAAGTACTAAAGGCACTTTAAATTGGTGGGCTGGAATATCTTTGGTTACAAATACACTTTGAGATATCCAGCTGCTTAAAAAAAAAAAAGTGATTACATTTACAATTGCAAATCAGGAGCCACAGACAAGCAGGACTGGCAGAGGTACAGGCAGGCCAGCTCAGCCATTCTCTGTCCCACACAGTATCTACCCACAGCAATCTCATTTTTCCCCTCAACAATCAATTGTTCAATACTTTTTAATGTTCATAAACTTTTTTTAATGTTTATTTACTTCCTAATGTCTAATGTGTCTCTTGCTCTAAGGTAAGCCTTGTCCTGCCCAGAATGTGCAAAGAATGTCTCCTCACTTTCAAGACCCTGAACTTGTCTGTTCTGAAACTACAGCAACTCACTGCAGGAAAATTAACCCATAAGCACAGTTAGATCCCTGGAGGTAGTGCTTTACTACAAGTATAAATCCCCTTGCACAGCAAGGACTGTTGCTTGTTCACCACTGAGTAAACCAAAGGCAGAGACATCCCCATCGCTGCTGCTGTGACCCGGCAGCAGGTCACTACTTCAAGCAGTTCTGCTCTTTCCCTCTCTGTGATGGCCATCAAAAAACTGAGGTGGAGATGAGCTCATGGATCCTGTCCCTTCAGCTGTTCTCACTCTGCCCTAGCTCCAGCACAGCATTCCAGCACATCCCTCTGCTCCTGGCTGCAACAAGCTCAGTTACAGCCTCTCCATCTCACCTGCCACCGGCACAGTCACAACAGCCAAGCTGCCTCCTCCACCACATACAGAGAAAACAGCCTCCAAATCCTCCTGAATTCACCTCTGCTGCGTGCACAGCCTGGGAAAAAAGTGCTCCTGGACATGAAGGATGTTCCCTGAGGAAAATCAAGCCTCACATGACCAGAGAACCGAAGTGACAAGACATATTATAGCTGCAGCAATGCTTGTGTTTTAGTTTCTCACATAATTCCTTCCAGATTAGTTTGAAGGCCGTTAGTTGTGCTGCTTTATCACAGCCATTGTCACTTGTGCAGAATTAAATCTAAAACCTTTCAGAGCCACAGAGAAAGTCCCTGACACTGGAAAATTACACTGCCTGTAAATGGCAGCTTTCTGTTCCACACAGTTAACGTATTATGGACTGCATCTCAGAGAAGTCACACTGTGATCTACAGGCCAAGAGCAATGATAATAAAACACTCCATAAAAAAACAATACCAGACAGCACTTCAAACGAGTTTATTAAGAGAAATACTACCATGTGAAAAGACAAACCCAGAGTCTTTACGCATAAAAGACTCCACTGGGTCTGTCATTAACCTGTCTCCAGTTTTCTGCCCTACACTAGTCAGGCACAGAGGGAGACTACCACCTGCACTTACAGATAAAGGACAGAGTTGTACTATTTTAAAAGAATGAAGTCAGGACTATGAAGAGATTTAAGTGTGAAGAAGTCACCAAGAAATCACAGCTCTGCACCTACATTTTGCAGAATACAGCACAAAAAGTCACCTAGGCACACACGGAAGTAGCAGCCTTGAGAGAGTCAGGATTTCACTCTCTTTGTCTCTAATCTTACTGCATTCACCTGGGACTTGATCTACCAGGCTGCAGGTATCTCTGGAGACCCACAGCACCCCTAGGAAGTCAAGCTGTAGTAAGAACCCCTGCAGCATCATGGCTAAATGGCAGGGCACATCTGAGCATGACACCCTGGTTCCAGATACTACCTAGGATTTACCAAGGAACACAAAAGGAATCATGAACACAGCTGCTCTCCTGTCACCTGGGCACTTAGACAATCCCAGGTATTGTCTCACTGGCAGCAAAAACCTTCTGGCACATTAGTGAAAGCCAGCAGAAACACTTTAACCTCCTGCACATGGAAGTCTCACCTCCACCAACACAGATTCCAATGGCTGGCTCACAAGCAGAAGATGGGAACTAGAAAGATATGGCTTTGCTACATGAATATGTAGGAGGGATTCAGAAAATCTCCCAGTCTACTGGGAAGAATACTTTGAATATAGAACCATACTAAGCTAAACTGTTAAATAGCCAAGCATGAACCCTGCAACCATCATGTTATTCCTCCCCTCCCCGAGTACCAGATCATCACACCCTGGCTGGAATTGCTCAGTGTAAGCCTATCTGGACCACACATCATGCCAACAAGTAGGCAGGCAGCAGTTTCTGGAAATGGGATACTATCAATTGAATCCTATGAAATATTGCACCTCTTCTTCTCCTCAGAGTGCAACACAATCCCAAGGACACCAGTTAAATGGCTGGACTATCCACAAAGAGGAGAAGATGCCATCTTACTTTGTTTTGCATACATCATCTGCTTTACAAGGCAGAAACAAAAGGTGCCCCAGGTTATGGGGGAAAAAAAAAAAAGGAGAAGGGAAGGAAACAAAATATAAAAATATCCAGCTGATATCCAAACAAGTTCAGCTTCCACCCTCATCCCTTCCCCCTCCCCCAGAAGGAGCCAGTCCTCTGCAACCAGAGGGCTGTGACACCCTGCAAAAGAGGTGGTAAATGGGGACGTACTTTCACAGTACTGAGATCCATGGGGTGTTTGATAATATCATGATAGTCATGTAATTCCAAGGCCTCTGCATCAACAGGCTTGTAAAAGGGCCATGCATAGGCTGCGTGTTTCTTGGAGAGCATCTCCTTGAGGATGCTGTCACAGTACTTGAGGTGCTCAGAGAGTTTGCCCTTCTTCCCTGCGTGCTGGGGGACCTCTCCGTCTTCCAGGTCTTTCTTTGGTGGTTTGATGGGGCGGCCGCCGCTCTCCCGCCGCGCGATGATTTTGGCCTGTTTGGGGTCCGAGAGGGGTGTGGGGGACTCGCTCCGGCTGGCAGTGATGGCAGAGGTGGTGGGGGTGGTCGTGTCCGCTTTCCGCTTCACTCCCTTTTTCTGAAACAGCAGATGGACAGGCTCCGTGAGTCCTCAGGCCAGCGGGAAACCCCAGCACAGCCCTGCCTTATTTTTGCCTGTCCTCTCACAGAAAACACACTTATTTCACTGGGGTAAACGGGGCTTGTGAGCAGAGGCTTCAACACGCAATCCATGACCACAACACGAGGTATTGCTGCACATCACCTGAGCCACGGTAACCAACCATCTGCACGTCTCCAACCCAACCCCAGCCACGGTGCAAAACGTGTTAGCCATAAGTATTTCACTGAGATTTAAGCCAAGGACTCTTACCTCGTGTTTGCCAAGGGAAAGGAGTGCGCCCGGTCGATTACTGCAGCTCAGCTGATGCATCGGGACTTAGCAAGTGTCAGTAACTTAACCACATGTCTGAGTCCCCAGTGGCAGGATCAGGCTATAAGTTCTGAACCAAAGCATATTAATCACCAAAGACCCACAAGCCCTCACTCCCCTGTATTTAGTGGGTGTGCTAAGGTAGGTTTTGCCTTAAGCAAATAAACCCTCGCACATAATTTCAAGCTGTGACTGTCCAGTCAGCTCTCTTGTGCTCCTGTGAAGGATTTATTTCTCTGGAGAGGGAGAAAGGGAGGAAAAAGTTCCTTAGAGAAATCTAAGGGAAATCTTAAGTAAATCCCAAGCAGAATTAATTTTGCAGCGTGTATTTGGCAAACTCACTTCTGGTTTCATCCTGGAGTTTTAAAATTAAATTGATTCTCAGAAGCAAGTTCTTTGGACAGAAACTGAAGTATGAGACAGGTTTCTGAAGAGGACAGCTCAGCTGCAAGATCTGACTTACAATTTCTCTAGTAATTCCTAAAATATAGGTTAAATAAGCAAAAAAAAAAATCAACCAAAAAAAAGTGGTTTTGCTGGTCCAAGCAACCTCACCAGTACTGTTGCAGTTCCTTCCCCAGTTTAGAAAAAACCCCACCAGCTTTCTCTGAGCTATGCTTTCATCATTTTTAAAGCAATACACAGTTTGCTAAGAAAATTCCAATTATCTAGAGCAACGTTTTCATTTCCCCATAAATTAACATAATAAATAGCAAAACACCAATGACAACTCCCAAAAGATTACTCAGTAGGGAAGACAGAACTAATGCACCCAAAAACCTGCAGGCAACATCAGTCTCCTCCAGCTGGAGTGACAGGCTTGTCTTGAACGGGTTTAAAGCAGAGAGGAACATTCCTAGTGCTGGAGCCCAAAAACCTTAAAGGAACAGTCCCAGTAAAACCAGGGGCTCAGTTACAGTGGGAAGGGATGCTTTGGTGCAAAATAGGAGGAACCTCCAACAGCCTTCTGGTTCCTGGAGCACCAGCACTGGGGAAGGCCACGGTCAAAGGAGAGCCTGGAACTGGGTTAGAGCAATCACAGTTGACATCACCTCGACTGGGGTGTGGTAAAACTGCCAAAACTCTTCTGAACCCCCGAAAACTCAACAGCGACCACTTGTCTGAGCTCCCCCCAAAGGGACAACACCATCCAGAGAGGCAGAGGCACACGGGAAGAGAAGGAACGCGCACAAGCGGCAGCGAGGGGACGAAACCCAAGCGCCGCTCAGCGACGTCGCCTTCTGAAGAAGAGGAAGAGTTCCACATTTACCTTGACGACAGGTGGCGTGGGAGGCACCACGGGCATGATTGGAGCGGCAGGAGGAGGGGGGGCGGCGGCAGGGGGGGCAGTGACGGGTGGGACATTCGCAGTGATGGTTGGCACGGGGGTGGCAGCAATGACGGGCGTCTGAGACACGGCCGGAGGGACGTTCTGGAACGGCGCCGGCGGGGACACGGAAGACACGGCCACGGCTTGCTGAGCTCCTTCAGGGGATAAAGAGAAATCTCACTGCAGAGGACTGGTGGTTGCAGGTGCTGACGGGACACTGGGTACACAGTGAAACAGGGTGGGACTCTTGGGGATGTCCTGTGCAGGGCTGAGAGCTGGACTCAATGATCCTTGTGGATCCCTTCCAACTCAGCATATTCCGTGTGGTGCCACTGGACTGTGCACTCATGGGCTTGGCAAAGGGCTCCCAGTTCAGGGCACAAAGGACACGGTGATTTGCATAGTGCTGTTACCCGGGGCACAACAAAAATGAGAAATCTCTGACCTAAGTCCTTGTACCACGAGCCACATGCAAGCAAAATACTTCCGGCTTTGCACATGGGGTGGGTGCTGCTCTGGGACAGTCCTCACCCCTCTCAGGCCCTCAGAGCTACAGTGAATTCATCAAAACAGCAGGAGCTCAAGGAGGTGGAGCAGAGGGAGGTGGTTCATACTATGCAAATGGTAACAACCACTCCCCTAAGCCACCTAAACACCCAAGAGTCCAAAGCACTTCAGATTTGCCACAAGTACACATGGTGTGATTCTTGGGATTGCCCTGTGCAGGGACAGGAGCTGGACTCAATGATCCTTGTGAGTCCCTTAAAACTCAGGATATTCCATGATTCTGTGATTCTAAGAAGAGCTTAAGTCTTCTGATATCCTGAATATCTCTGATGCTACACCTGCACTATTAAAGAACTGCCTACTACTGTAATGTCAAAGGGGACAAACCTAGTAACTAATAACCAAAGTAGCAAACCCTTTCTATGTTTTAGAGCAGCTTTTATCAAGGGATGTTGAAAAGACACATCATCACAAATTTCTCTGAGCTGGGATAAAGTTATAGCTCCATTTAGCACCTGAGATGTGGGAAAACAGAGGAACAGTTGACTTTCCCAGAGAGACAATTAGACACTGTTTAGAGAAAGAAAATATTGCAACACAAGCTCCTTTATGAACTGTTTTACCATGTTTAGACATTTTAGTCCTAAATCCATTTAAAATCAACTCTAGGTAAGCTGAACTAAACTCAGTTTCCACTGATATGTAATGGTCTGCACAGCCCTCTGCAATGGCTTAATAAATCTTTTCTGATGATCAAACTTTAATTCTACGATATTGCAACTGTGTGTGCAAAAAAAAAACATTATACAGGGTTTAGGGGAGTGGCAAGATTTGAGTCCAAGTCTTTGCTGGGTCAGATTTCTGCCAAGAACCAGGGTGAGCTGTATAAACCCAAATCTGAACAGGCCTTCTATGCCATGGTCTGGCACTGGCAGCAGACTGGCACGTCTGACTACCTTGTCTTTTCTTGCCTTGGTTTCTTCTTTGCACACAGGAAGCAACAGCAGTGCCCTCCCTCACTGAAGTGTGTGGATGGGCAAGTCACAGATGGCAAGATCTGTGTGACAAGTGCAGAGCGGCCTCAAGACAGACAAGTCCTGAAACACTGAGTGAACATTACCCAGACATCTCACACTTTCCTCCCCACTGCTTTAACTACATGTTCCCTTCTGAGCCTTTTCACCAGTTGCAAAGTCAAGCAGCTTGGAAGGTGGGCCAGGTCTCAGCAACAGCTCCTGACACCTCCTGTGCCTGGGTGGGTCCATACCTGCACTCTGGGTGCCCGCTGACGGCTTGCGACCTTTGCCTTTAGGAACTGGGGGTAGTAACTCCACTTCCTCCTGAGGCATCTGGGCAACCTTCTGCAGAAATATCTTCTCCAGGGCTTGGGCCATGAGGACAATGTCGTCTGTGGGCTGCAGAAAGAAGAATATGAGCCCATGCTGTATCATATTTGAAGCAGGGAAGTTCAAGATCAGGCTTTGAAAACCCTGATGACACTGCTCTTCAAATAAATTATGGTATACAGACTCCAAGAACAAACAGATTAGCTCTTTCCCCTCCTTGCATGCCTTTTTTTATCCCTCCTGCTCTTCTATTCTGCTCTAGCATGCAATAATTACAGCCCCTAAGTACACTGCATCCAGAGAGTTATCAGGACTTCCAGTAGGAGCCTGATAACCAGCATCCTGTGCAACAGCATGGAAGCAGCAAACTGGAACAGATGAGCTGTCCTCCCCTGCTTGCCAGCAGGTCCAAAGGAAGAGTCTAAACACATATTCTGTGGCTCAAACTAATTAATTTGTTTATTTCAGCTGTTCTCCAGTGTGGGTCAATGATGACAAACGACTGTAGAAAACATAATACAAAGAATAGAGGCCTTTAACAACCTAACAAAACAGCAAACAAGCCAAACCCAAAATAATAAGCATTCTAAATGTGTGTAAGCACGAACATATTTATGGAGACAGAGTCAAAGAACAGAGTTATGCTTCCTGAACTGCTCTCTGCTGCAGACACTATTTACTACCAGTCAGTGTAGCACAGCACCAAAGCATCACAAAACACCTGCAGAGCACTGCATGAACTGCAGCTCACCTCAAAGAATTCCTAACTGAAAATAAAAGGAGCAAAAACTCGCTACATAACCCCAGAACAGAGATCTACCTATAATTAAAAGGCATATTTGCCATTTTAACTAGTCTGGGGGAAGAATGGCGCAGCACAAAGGCAGCTTTGTGCATTTCAAGTAATGTGGTTGCAATTAGTGGCACTTCAAACCCTCGCAAGGAGGGCCCGGAGCCGGCCCTGTTCAAAACCTGCAGAGTAACAGTGGTAGCTGGGTCTGTCTGGGCTCTTTACCTTGTTATAAATGTAACAGTTTGTAAACATGGTGTTGAAATCCTGCATACATTCACTGGCACTCCAGTAGTAGTTGTGTTCCAGGCGCTTCTTGATCGTCCCCATGTCCATGGGGTTTTTTATTATTTTGTGATAATCCTGTTGGAGAAACAGGAAAGATGTTACATCTCCTGATACAGAGCGTTGATCCCATCTTCCTCCAATACCTGCTTTCTCCTCGTTCCCCCTCTCAAAAAACACCCCCCAATTTTTGTGGAAATTGTAAATGTAAATATATATAGTAATTTATTTTTTAATTTGTATTGTTTTAGTCTATCATTATTATGAACTTGACTACAAAGCACATGAGCTCCTTCCACAACCACCAGTCTGGGAATCAGCACTTTAAACTTTCTAAAAGGCTGCCTCTGGCACTTACAGAAGTTTATCAGTGCCAGCCCTGGCTAAAACTGTGCTAAAAGTTTCAGTCTCTCTTTTAAGAGCATTTTGACCTTTAAAAGGCTTCCACCAGTTTAAAAGGCTTAACCCAGTTTCTCCCTGGGCTGGTCCCAAGCATCTGCAGAGGCTGTGATTATCTGGAGGGGCACAGGGCTATGCACTGTCATTTCCTCATCATGGCACCAAGGCCACACTCTGAGCCCAACCCTCCAGTGTGATGTCAGGCACCAATATTTCCATGCCAGGGCAATCAGAAAACTGATCTCACCACCACAAAGCTTTCCAGGAACACAACACCGAGCAGAAGACGACGGAAACCTACCGGCAAATTCAATTTAATTGCATCAACAGGCTGGTAGAAAGGCCAAGCAAACTGATGCTTCCACAAGGTCTTCACCACAACATTTTGCATATATTGCAGTTGGTTGGTCTTCCGGCCAGGCTTATTAGGATTAGTCACCTCCGGAGGCGGCGGATTCACGGGGCCCTGAGGAGCCTGGATTGCTGATGTGACTGTCGACATTTTCCCGCTCGGGCTCTCACTCGCTGTTACAGCAGCAGCAACGGGGAGATTTTCTTTCTTCCTTTATGCTCCCTGAATGGGACTGACATCCCATTTCCAGGGCCCAACCATACAACCTAGAGCAAACTAGAGGAAGAGGGCAATGTGTAAATACAGACATTTGAAGTAGGCACCTTAGAGACAATTCTGCTGTTAAGAGTGTTTGAACTCAGGCTGTTCACCCCAGAGGATTCGTTCCCTCTGACACAGTTTATCTTGATGATGGGCACAGGTCAAGACCTGAGAGACAGCAGAATAGTAATTCCCAAATTCAAAGCCTGCAGAGAGACAGTAAGCTTCATGGGACTAGTCCTTGCTTTATCTGGCTCAGAGAGCATTTTCATGTCAAGAAAACACTTGGGGCAACCTAAGGATACAGTTAGGGAATACAGTTAGGATGTAATGCAGACTCCCATGAATGCACTGATCCAAGATACTAAATCCATAGCTTCCAGCTCTGTGTAAACTGAACTGCATTGTCTCTAGACCCACGCTGCCTGGCACTGAGTCAGCTTATAAGTCTCTACTCTGGTGCAATGCTCAGTCTAAAGTCCCATAATCAAGAGCAGACAACAGTTGCCAGAGGACCTCGATCCAGGGAAATGAAAAGAAGGGAGAGAGGGAAATGCTGTGAATGAAAGGTGTGACCAGAAACAGCTTAACTTGAAGTGATCTGAACTTTGAATCTCATAAATGTCTTACTACGCCCCTTACTGCACGTACCTGGCTGGTTTTGTACCAAAGTTTCAAGATACAGGCTCAATATAAATTATAATTGATGTTATATCCCTGGCTAAGAGAACACTGTCATGTTCGCTCTTAAAAGCACATATGAAATACAGTAGAATACATAAATTGCATTATTGTTTTCTGGTTTTCCCCCAGCAAACTGCAGGGGTAAAAATAGCCCAGTATCACCGTGCCTTCTGTACCATATGGTAAACAGCTTTTCCATGTCATCTTCCATAAACATTGGATATTTCAACTCACATCAGGACTGCAGCTACTCTTCTCATGGCAAACAGACCACAAGCACTTTCTAGAGGCAAATTATTTCAAATGAGTTCAGAAAGCCATACAAATACTCTCACTGACATATGCTTCTTGGTTGCATTGAGAAACACGAGCAGAGACAGAACCTGCAGTAACACAGGAAGGAGAGACATCCCAAGAAAAAACCAGAAACCTCTGCTTTGATACAGCCTTTATCATCTCTGCTGAACATCTGGACTAAATATAGAACATCAACTTACCCTTTGAGTTGCTGATTAGATGAAGGCAAAAAGTAAACACATACCTAACTGGGAGGGAGAGCTTTACAAAAATAGATGTGTACAAACACAAACAGATCTGCAGCAGAGAGGGAGGAAGTCGTTAAAAACCTAAAATAAACCCCTGTGTGAGTACACGTGCTGGTATGTGCAGGGAACAGACAAGTCCAGTTATGATACTGCCAACATTTGTCCATGAGACCCACCATATTCCAAAGATGTAGAAAAAGCAGGGACTTTCTTGTGCCATGTAATCAAGCCCCTGGTCCCTGTTCTTGAATAACTCAAGAGCCCAGCTTAGCTCAAAAAGGACTAGTTCCTCATCTGATCATGGTGCTGGTGAGAGTCATGGTGACCACCAAGCAGCCAAGAGGGATGCTGGCATCCCCTGGATAAGGAATTTCAAAACTAGGCTGTTCCTTGGGATTTTGCATTTGGAATAAAACTCAGGAAGCATTTTCTCCTGGTGTTCCATCAAGTCAAAGCAGCAGCAAAATTATTGCAAAATTCAATCTTCAGATCGAGGGGGGGGAGGGGGAATAGACAAAGAATTAAGAACAAAAAAGATAATTAGGAAATTGCCCTCAGCCTCCTTCTGGGGAGCTCCCTGCATGGATTTCAGACCCCAAGGTCTGTGAGCAACATCCATCATCCAAGAATAAGCAACACTGGCTGCAGGCCCCTGGTGACCACCAGTGAAGCATTCTGTTTGCTGTCTTCTTGATTAACAAACTGAATCCAATGCAAGGATTGAGGAGAAATAAAACACCCACAGAGAGCAATTCCTACTGCTAGAGAGCATTTCAGTCACAAGTTTGAAACTACTCAGTGTAACTTAAGTCTTCCCTTTAAATAACCTAAGGCTAAATATGATTCTCTTTTCATCTGAAGTTCCTGATGCCCTCCTACCTCTCATATTCTGTTTGATAAGGGTATTTAATTAATTTTTATTAAATCCCAGAACTGTAATTCAAAAAACCACAGATCTAGCTGCTGCTTCTCTCAGACTTTCTCTCTGACCTTAACCGAGGTGTTCAGTATCTTCACACCACAGCTCCTCATCTGTGTCATGGAGATTGTGGGAGTTCCTTTGCTCCTTTCTGCCTCCACCCAGCAGCCTGTAAACTCTGGGACAGGCTCTGCCTCTCCACATGCCCATTATGATCCTCAAGCTTAAACAAGGCTTGTACAGTCCACATAAAAGAAGGATGTAACAGTCATCAGTGACACAACTCAGAAAGGATTTTAATTAAGAACATTACCAAAAGAAGGAGGGGCAGAACCATGACAGCCAAGTCAGGCAGTCCCTGGACAGCTGATCCTCTTTAACTTGCACGTTCCAACTCACTGGTTATTACACCCAAAAGCAGCTACAAACCTCTTAGCAGCACTGGCACTGAAATGCTGGATTCTGCAGCTCAAAGAGAGGAAAAGCTACCTGGGCTATCTTGGCAGCACTGGAAGTTTCTGTCCTGCCATAAATACAGCTTTAATGTGCCCATGTGCCTCACTGACCCTTTAACCCTTGGTCCATCAGCTTTCCCCATCATTTGCTGGGGAAGCTGCTTTGATACTGGATCACTCTGTAATTTTTACAATTAAAAGTTTGTTTCTACAGCCATTCTTTCACCTTTAAAGTTTCAAAGTGGTATTAATTTAAAAAGCAAAAGGCAGGACTATGAGGATTCTGCAAGCTGAGGGTTAAAATGCTTTGAAAATGTCCAAAAGTCAGTGATACTGAATTCGAGAGGTCATGGCCCTGCCTGAGAAATCTGCTGGTTGTGAGACATCATTTATTAAACGAGGAAAGTGAGAGTCACAATCATCTGACATCCCAACTTACCACACAAATCATCCAAGAGGACACTTAAGTAGACTCACACACACAAACCAAGCAATTTACCCAATTGTCCTGTAACTACAAGTAGAATTGAAATACACAGCTCCAGTCTAAGCACTTCAGCACCTACTGAAACTGCACTAGTACCAATAAATATTTAAACTATTAGGGAGCCCTGCTGTGATCCAGGACATCACTGTACAAGGTACTGTACAAGCCTGGAGCAAAGACTGCCAAAACCAGCCTTGGCACAGGCATCATGTGCACTTTCCAATGAGGGGCTAAGGTTGGACTTTTTTTAGCCCTGGAGTAATAGCTTCTTAAATTTTAATTTTTAAGTCACTACTTATCCTGTTCCTCAGACCTGTAATGTTCAAGTAGCAGAAGCTGTTCTCGATTTTTCTGGCTGCACAAGTACAGTTTTGATATTATAAATGTAAAGTACACCCTAAAGTGCTGTCACACACGAAGAGTGAACACTGCTTCCCACACTGAGCATTTCTCCTCCTTCTTATTCAGTCTGAGACGATAATTAAAAGCAAAACCCAAACCCTCAAATAAATCTTGCTTCTCTGAAGTTTCAGTCTGTCCTTTTGTGCTAAGTTGCAACCTCAGCGTGGCATCCAGCAAGGCCGTGGGCTTTGGCACAACCCTCAGCCAAACCAGTCATCAAAAAAAACCCAGCTGGGTTGGGAGGATTTTATTATTTTTTTTTTTAAAGTTTTCTTTCATTGAGTTGCTTGCATGGGTCAGTCAGTGGAGAGACAGTTGGCGTGGAGAAAACATGTTAATAATTCCTTGTGCTAGCGGGAGAACATTTCCCTCGGCTGATGCAGCCCACAGGCTGTCTGCAGTGGTGGGGACTATTTTAAAAGCAGCTATAAAGCCCTGTGAAGTGTGCAGTGTGCCAGCACTCCTGCTGCTCCAGCCAACGGCCCTGCACTTCCTCTGGCAGTGCCCAGCGTTCAACGGGTGGCTCCTCCCGAGCTGCCGTTCGCGCAGGACCGGATGGCATTTGTTGTGATTGCAAAATTAGGAGGCAGCAATCTTTATGTTAGCAGGAGAGCCCAACAACTCCTTTTTTTTTTTTCCCCCCTCCTCCCTTGGTATAGTATTTCTGTGCGGTTACTTGGACACCGATCAAAATCTGGCGCAATTCCAGCCCCTGACAGAAGCAGCGACGTAAATCTTCCCATCGGGGAAAATTATCGAGTTTAAGAGATGTTCCTTGACCTCCCTGTTATCTCCACAATATTATTTACATTACAGTAGCACATGGAAGCTGGGCAGAGACCAAGGTCCCTTGGTACTTTGCACTCTGCAGACACAAGACCCTGTTCCAACCTCAAAGAGTTGGTGCTCACAACTCACACATTACACCACGGTGAGGTGACTTGTCCACAGCCACCCAGCGAGTGGCAGAGCTGAGAGCAGAGCCCTGAGCCCGGCTGGTGCCTGGCCCTGTGTTCATTCCCTGTGTCAGGGAAACAGCACTGCTCCCCCACAGACATGAAAGGCAGCAACTGAGCCTTTCTAAGGTAGGATGGAGCCAGCAGCCAGACCTGCAGGGACTCAGCAGGGCAACTGGAGCAGGCATCATCATGCTGCTGCTCCAAGCACTGCTCCCCCACACTGGCTCCTTGCAGCCACCAAAGGAGATGCTTGGTCCCTTTTTCCCTGACAGCAGCAATAGTTGGAAGTTTGGTCAGATTTGCCACCATATGCAAAAAGCAGCCCAACCACAATCATCTTTCTCTGCAGGAGAGGTTTAGCAATACTACTAAACCTCAACATGACCTTTATGTCAGATAACATTATTATTTAAAGGTTGCACCTATTTCATTCTATGGCTGTAGAAAGTAAGGGCTACATCATTCCTCCAGGGTCCTCCATAAGGAAACAAAGCTGGCGGATATCCTTTTCCTCCTCTCCTCTACTTTCCCTTCCCTTCACAGTCCCATATAGGAACTGAGCTT